AAGAAAAAGATGATTGTACTCACTTGACTGGAAATAAGGACTTATTAGAAAGCTACAGTAAGATGATTGTGCTACTGGCACACAGATGAAAAATCAGTGAACAGAATAGAAAGGTCAGAAACAGACTCATATTCTGCAGGGTAGTAAAGTAATGAAAATCTTCTCAACCAGTGTGCTGGAATAATTGGATAGCCATATATGGAAAAAGATGAAACCTAACCCCTTCCTCACACCATACTTATAAATCAATTTTAAAAGGAATGAACCTTCTAGAAGAAAATATAGTAGTAGAATGTCTTTAAACTCAAGGAAAATTTTCTTAATCAGGACACAAAAACACAAACTTTATAAAAGGAAAGCATAATACCTATGATGGTAATACAGCCAAGAACTTCTGTTAACCAAAAGATACTCCTAAGAGAGAGAAAAGGCAAATCACAGAGCAGAAAAGGTTTCTTGAAATACATATATGACCAAAAACAGAATGGAAATCAGAATACATAAAAAACTGCAAATCAAGAGAAAAGAGACAAATAATCCAGGAGAAAAATGGGTAAGAAAATTTAATAGTTACTTTACAAAAAAGGATATCCAAATACTTAATAATCTTAAGAAAACTTCCTCAATCTTATTAGTAATTACAGAAATACAAATGAACACCACCATAATATGCCATCACACAAACACCCAACGGCTAAAAATAAAAATACTCAGAATTGCAAGTATTGGGGAAGATATGGAACACTTCGAGTGTACAATACCAGTGGAGTGAAAATTGGTACAACTGTTTTAGAAATAGGTGACATTATCAAATAAAGTTCAAGATTAATTACCCTAAGACAGAACTATTTCAGTCTGAGGTATATACTCAACAAAAATATAGCCACATATGCAACAAGAAATGTGTATTTTTAAAAGCAGCATCATTGGACCAGGCGCCGTGGCTTACCCCTGTAATACCCCCGTAAGCTCTTTGGGAGGCCGTGGTAGGCAGATCACTTGAGGTCTGGAGTTTGAGACCAGCCTGGCCAACATGGTGAAAGCCTGTCTCCACTAAAAATACAAAGCAGCCAGGCATGGTGGCAGGTGCCTGTAATCCCAGCTACTCCAGAGGCTGAGGCACAAGAATCGCTTGAACCTGGGAGGCTGAGGTTGCAGTGCAGCGAGATCGTACCACTGCACTCCACCCTGAGTGACAGAATGAGACTCCGTCCAAAAAAAAAAAAGCAGCATTATTTATCATAGTAAAATTTGGAAACAACCCAAATGTAAAAGAAAAAAAAAAGAGATTCCATTTGCAGTCACAATTTGTGTAGGAATGAATTTTTGAAAATATATGCAAAGACATGATGAAGAAAATATAAAATATTATTAAAGAATGAACAAAATCAATCACATGTATAACTTAATATCACAAAGTTGTCAGTTCTCTCAAGTTAATCTATAAATTCAATGTAGTTCCAATGAAAATCCTAAACGTGTTTTATAATGGAACTTGACAAAATTATTTTAAAATTTAATGTATGAATAACGTTCCAAGAAGAGCAAGACAATTCTGCCTCTATCAAACTACAATATAAAGCTACAATAGTTACAAAAGTGTGATATAGAGAACTTAGAAACAATTTTGAATATTTGTAGAAACTTGGTATATGATTGAGAGGAATTACAAATAAATGGAGAACAAAATAGCATGCAATTGATGGTGTTAGGACCATTGGCTACCTATATGAAAAAAAAAACTTCCCCCAAATTTCAATTAGATTAAAGACCCAAATATTAAAAATGCAACTTGAAGATTTTTGAAGAAATGTAGAATATCTTTACTACCTCAGTATAGGGGTGAATTTCCTAAACATGACAGAAAAACATGAAATACATACACACACATAGACTAACACATTTTACTATATTCAAAATTACAAACTTCTTTCCTGGGAAAGAAGTGCTTCTTCCCAGCACTTTGGGAAGCTGAGGCGGGTGGAACATTTGAACTCCAGGAGTTTAAGACCAGTCTGGGCAATATAGGGAGACCCTGTCTATATAAAAAATACAAAAATTACCCAGGTGTGGTGGCGCATGTCTGTAATCCCACCTACTCAGAGGAGTTGAGGCGGGAGGATCACTTGAGTACAGGGTGATTGAGGCTGCAATGAGCCGAGATTGAGCCGTTCTACTCCAGTCTGGGTGACAGAACGAGACCGTGTCTCAAAACAAAACAAAAATTTACAAACTTTTATACGACAAAATAAATCACAATCAAATTTAAAAAAAACACACACACAGTGGGAGAATATACTTGCAATACTAAGAGAAATTGACATTCAGATTCTTTAAAGAACTCGTATAAATCAATAATAAAATATTTCTACTATCATGATACTACTGGTAACCTGCAGGCAGCAACCAATCAGAAGACAGCAAGACTAATACGAATGAACATTTTAAAAAAGAGGCTTCTCTGGTGCATACCAGCTGGATATTCTCTAAACAACCCCAAAAAATCAACAAAATATTAAGTGAACACTTACATTATGCAAACCCCTTCTCAGCAAAAGTTTTTAGAAAAAAGTCAAATTTCAAATCCTTCAAGCAAGGAATTAGCATTAGTTAATAGAAAACTGATGCTACTGCTTGATAATAACGTTTTAGTTTGAGCAATGTGAAATGGCCATTTTTAAACCAAAAGATGGTTAAAAAACTGGCAACTTCAAATGATTCAACCTCTATCTTCTTAATTTAACTATGGTATTGTAAATTGCCAGTTTATACAGAATATTCCAACCTGTAGAGCTAAACACTGAACCTGTATATTAACTAATGGGCTTGAAACTAGTTCTCAATAAGACTAAAACTTCATTTTACTGAATTATATAAGTCAGTTTACAGTGTTATGTTTTCCTGGAATTTGATATAAAAATGGTTTTACAGCCCTCTAAGAATGTAATTCTTCATGATTGTCAAAAATTGTGAAATATCCTTACATGATTATTCAAAGCCTAAACCTGAATGAGAAAATCTAACTGAACTTAAATTGTTTGGTTTTACAAGTGGCTTTTCTGCCCATTTTAACCCCACCAATATAAACTTCTTTGTATCATTACACTAGAAAAAGTCCAGTATAATTTTTGAAATAGCATCTCTGTGTTGTTCCCTTAATCTAAAAGATTCTCACCAAGTTTAAGAACAACCTTAAATAAAAACAGATATATTGACCAATGGAACAGAATAGAAAGCCCAGAATAAATCCACCCATTTTTCAGCTGATCTTCGACAAAGATGCCAAGAATCCACGATGAGGAAAGGACAGTCTCTTCAACAAACAAAACTGGGGAAACTGGATAACCACTTGCGGAAGAATGAAATTGCACCCTATCTCATCCAGTATACAAAAATCAACTCAAAGTAAAGACTTAACTGTGAAACTTGAAATTGGAAAACTACTAGAAGAAAACATAGGGGAAAAGCTTCTTGACATTGGTCTGGGCCAAAATTTTTTGGATATGACTGAAAAGCATAGGCAAAAAAAGAAAAAATAGACAAATGACATTGTATCAAACTGAAAAGCTTTTGCACAGCAAAGGAAACAATTATAAAGAGACAACCTACAGAATGGGAAAAAATACCTGCAAAGCATATATTCGAGAACAGGGTAATTTTTTTTTAAAAAAAAAGGAACTCAAGCAACACAATAGCAAGAGAACAAGTTACTTGCCTAAAAAATGGGCAAATAACCTGAAAAGATATTTCTCAAAAGAAGACATATGAATGGCCAAGAGGTATACGAAAAATGCTCAACATCATTAATCATCAGGAAAAGCAAATTAAAACCACAAAGAGATATCCTCATACCTGTTAGGATGGTGATTAACAAAAAGACAAAAGAAGAGTTGGTGAGGATGTAGAGAAAAGAGAACCCTCTTGTACACTGTTGGTGTGAGTGTAAATTAGTAGTTATTACGGAAAACAGCATGGGGATTCCTCAAAAAACTAAAAATAGAACTACCACGTGATTTGGAGATTCCACTTCTGGGTATATATCCAAAGGAAATGAAATCTGCACTCCCATGTTCACTGCAGCCTTATTCATAATAGCTAAGCTATGGAGTCAATCTAAATGTCTGGATGAACGGATAAAGAATATCTGCTATATATAAATAAGAACATACTATTCAGCCTTAGAGGATATCCTATCACTTGAGATAATAAGGATGAAACTGGAGACCGTTATGTTAAGCGAAAGGAGCCAGGCATAGAAAGACAAATATTGGATGTCTCACTTATTTGTGGACTCTAAAAAAGTCAAATTCATAGAAGCAGAGAGTAGAATGGTGGTTACCAGGGGCTGGGGGGGAACAAAAAGGAGGGATTGTGGAGATGTCAGTTAAAGGATGCAAAATTTCAGTTAGACAGGAAGAACAAGTTCAGGAAATTTATTGTACAACATGGTGACCACAGTTAATAATAATATAGACTTGAAAATTACTGAGAGAGTGCAATTTAAATGTTCTCACCACAAAAAAGTAAAAAGTATGTGGAGTAATGCATATGTTAATTAGGTTGATTTAGCCATTTTACAATGTTTACATATATCAAAACATCATGTTGTATGCCATAAATATACTTTTTATTTGTTAATTTAAAAATAAAAATAGCAGCCTTAAATAAAAGTACTCTGACATTCCAAAATTAAAGACTTTGTATTTTGAGAGCTATAAACTGGCAAACGAAAAATAAAGATATCCAAATAGTAGAAAAACAAGGGAAAATATGCTCAACCCTCCTTAGTTCTTTTTTCTTTCCCTTCCTTATCCTCTCCCTATCTCCTACTCTTGTTCCTCTCCTCTTTCCTTTCTCCTTCCCTTCTTTCAGTCTTAGAGCTAATATTTTTAAATGCTAACAATTACTAATACTTAATAGCAACACGTATCTTGTTCTTGTGCTTTACATGTATTTACATGTCTTTAGAACGGGAGGAATAAAAAGGAAAACGTTATTACCTTTGCCTCCTTTACAGTGAATCACTATGATGTTTTCAGGATCTTGAGCCAGCCACTCCTCTACTTCCTTGGAGAATGCTACCATCTCCCTGATTTCAAGTTTAGGATTTTTAGTTGAATTAAAATATTTTCAAAAAATCAAGCCCAATATATTTAGCCCCCTTCTGATAGTCAACGTAGCATAAAACTTACCATAGAGTGGGGACATTATGATCATCAATCATGATTCTACTGACCCTATTATGGAAGTGCTTAGGATCATAAGCTCTTTCACCTAAAATAAATAACATGTATGTCATATCTCTCTATATAATAACACAGTAAATGAAGTTATGAATCATATAAAATATCTTATTAGAAATTCCCTATCCATTTCAAAAGGAGCTTTCCAAGTTGCTCCTGCTGCTCTAAATAAAATAAACTTAAGGGTCTCAAAAACAGAAGGATAGTAGTGGATTATCCATCTCACGTCACCTAAACTCAACTTATTTTGGTTTAATAGGTGTAATTTTTAACTTTCTAGCAGACTATTCATTATATTATTGCAGGGTAGTTAGAAACCACGCAAGAGGCAAATGTAGCTGGCCGAAATGATTGCCCCCAGTCTATTGAGTATACAGGTAGAGGAAAAAAATTAAGACAGAGTGGTAAGCTGGGTTGCGACCGATTTTCTAAAGAGTTTTTTTGCTCTTTCCCGTCTGCGGCCCTGCTCTCATCATAACCCACTGCTAATGGGTCAGGGACTCATTTGTTAAATTGTCTATGTCCTCGTAACACAATCTGGCAGGAAAAACAGACAGATTTTCCTAAACCTAGTATCGCCAGAACAGATCTTCCCTAAAATGGTTTGCCTCCACTCCAGCCTCATTAGTCCTGCCAGAGCTGCCTCCTTCATAAGGGTACTCTGTGCTCCTGGGCTAACTCTTTCTACCAAATGGGGCCAGTCCAAGATAGGGATTTTTAAATTCCTTCTGCACCAGCACCAAATACTTATGATTAAATGCAATGTAAAAAGCAAAATCATCTTCTTACATTCAGTAATCTGTTTTCTATCTACAGTAGCAATATACAGAGTAATGTACATACTGCATAGATTGTAGACTCGATAGTGGTTTGGATGTTTCTTGTCTAGAAACTGTACAACTTCCTAAAACAGAGAAACACATATTTTACATATTTGCATGGCACCAACATAAGCCATTTCCTAGGAGGAACCTAAAATGGTTATTACTTTCTATTACTTTGTCTCTCACTAGCATCTTCTAGGGGAGACTCAGGGAATACAAGGGTATGCCAATTTCAAGTTCTAATCCACTGTGGTTTTTCAAATAGTCCACAAATATGTTTGACTACTCAGAGTAGCCTCTATTGTAAATACATACTGTTTAAAGCTATCAGAAAAGTACATTAGATGGTTAACGAACTTTAAGTAAATTTGTTCCAAACCATTAATTCACAGTTAATGTGATTTTTATTTAAATCTAATTCATATTGGTTCTTATTTAAATTTAATTCTGAATAGGTATGTCTTTTAGATAGTGATTTGAATATTACATTCTACCTAAGCACTATGTAAGCAAATAAATGCAAAAAGTATTACAGTACGATTGTGTGTGTGTATGCATGATAGAAAAAGACAAACATATTATATCAATTTATAAATAACTGGTAACTATATGGAGACTTTTTTGGCTCACCTGTTCTCTTAGTTTTTTAATGAAGATATATACGTACCGGTAAGTGTGTGTGTGTGTGTGTGTGTGTGTGTGTGTGTGTGTGTATGTATAACCTTTCCAGTGAAAAACAAATAGTAGTTATTATTTGAAATATAGTTAATATAACTATATGAATCCAACAATATTTTCAGGAAATATATCTTTCTGAAACATACACACATACATACACATACGTATATATCTCTATGTTACAACAAAAATGACACAAAATTTCAAAAACTGATTAGTATGGTACCCTCAGAACAATGTTTACTGGCTTAATATTGAGGAAAAATAAAATTAAGGCATCGAAGTCTTCCATTTATTAAATTGGTTATCTATGTTAGGAGGAAATAATAAGTCAAAAAGATGAATACCCTGAATCTGCATAGTGGCAGAGGGGAAGGATAAAACATTTCATTTCACATACTTCAGAATTCATGCATTTTCTTACATAAAATCCATATAGGTTTAGAAATTATGTATTAAAAACTACAACTATCTATGAGAAACTTAAGTGAATTTTAATCAATTCTTTGGATGAGGAAGAACTAAAAGTGTTGAATCAATGGAAGATCAACAGCCTTGGGTTTGACTTCATAAAATTCTGAAATTTCTGTTTAAAAATGCTATAATGAACAATAGGGGAAAATATTTTTTTCAGAAAAATGGACTGTTGGGGACTATATCTAGGATAATAAATTAATAATTCATTAACAACAACTTAAATATTACTCCCTCACCTTATAGATAAATGGGCCAAGGACACAAACAATCCATAAAAGAGAAAATCAAACTGATTAACAGCCTACATAAATATTCAGTGTCGCCAATAACGAAGTCAAAACAACAGGACATGACCTTTGCACCCATGAAATTAGCCCTTTCTCTTTTAATGAGAAAATCCAATGCTGGCAAAATAAGACATGACATTAAAAACTTTGATTTATTGTTGATACAATAATACAATTGCTCTTGGATTTGGCAATATATATTAAGAACCCTAAAAATACTCATTCTCTTTAACTAGGTAAGTTCACTTCTAACAATCTGTACAGAAAAAGCCTTATGCTCAAAGATATTTGTTGCTGTATTATTGATAATAGTGACACTTAAATGTCCCACATTAGAGGTTAATCATAGCACTAATGAAATACCATGCAACCATTAGAACACTGTCCTGTTCTTCATTCTCTCAACCAGTAAATATCTCAATGCAGTAATTTATGTGCAGTCTTCTTTAGTATACATATATAGAAAAACAGCTGGCCGGGTGTGGTGGCTCATACCTGTAATCCCAGCACTTTGGGAGGCTGAGGTTGGTGGATCATGAGGTCAGGAGTTCAAGACCAGTCTGGCCAAGATGGTGAAACCCAGTCTCTACTAAAAATACAAAAATTAGCCAGGCACGGTGGCGGGTGCCTGTAATCCCAGCTACTTGGGAGGCTGAGGCAGGAGAATCTCTTGAAGCTGGGAGGCGGAGGTTGCAGTGAACCGAGACTGCACCACTGCACTCTAGCTTGGGTGACAGAGCAAGATTCCACCTCAAAAAAGAAAAAAAAAAAAAGAAAAGAAAAAGAAAAACAGGCAATATTTGCTTTTTCGTGGGAAGACAAATATCCCTGGAGGGTTAAACTTTAGGGATTTTCTGAATCCCCTTCCTAGTTTTCTCAATGTCTAAAATTAAATTACATATATATATATACATATATATGTGTGTATGTGTGTGTATATAGTTTTTATAATTATATATGTGTATATATACTTTTAATAATTATATTATATATATATAGACTCAATATATTGATGATTTACTGCTGTGTTTCCTGATCTAAGTAGTTTACTGAAGGCTCCAAATACCTCTTATTCAAAGGTGAAAAGGGACATAAAGAATCTAGAGAAAAGGTGAACTCTGCAAAGAATCTACATTTTTTTGGTCACAAGCTGTCACCAGATGGATAGTTTCTATTTTCAACCAGAATAAAGAGCATTCAATTCTACCAAGAACAGAAATTAAAAGATGGCTAAGAAGATTTTAGGACTGTAGGTAATTGTATATCTCATATCTCAGCCTTTGCATGGGCTTACTAAGTTTAAAATTTCTGATGCAACTTCCTTGTGATGCAACAGTAGAAAATACTACTCTGTGAAAGCCTTCTTGCAACAATCTCCACCTTGGGGTTTTCCTAAATCTGCTCAACTCTTCTCTCTGCCTATCTTAGTACATTCCTTGATTTGGAGGCAAAGGTACACCCTCTGTACCTGCATGAAGTGGTAGCAGTGGCCAAACTTGTTGATGCTCCCACCACAGTGCTTGTGTGTCCACTAACTCTATGGGTCCCACATCTCTAAAGTTTCTGCTACTTCAAGGCAGCATCTGACATTTCTCCACTAGTAAATTTACCACTTATGAAATTGTAAGGTCTGCTTTGCATATTCAATATTGTTTGAAATGTAACCCTGCAAATTTATTCTCTTTTAAGAATAAAGAGGAATCGCATGACTGTTTAGCATCCTCTCAGGAGTTAAGTATACCCGGATTTGAATCATGTACCTTTTAGTCAGCCTTGATTTAATATACATTGTGGATGGTTCTCAAAAATGACAAAGGCATTCCAAGCGCAGGATATGCTGTTGTCATTGAACATGCAATGACTGAAGTGCTCCATGGCCTAATTCTCGGCCTGTCCAGGTAGCTGAACTAGTAGCTTAGATTTGGGGCTGCGCTCTGGCAAGATGAAAGACTAAATATTAACATGGACAGTAGATTTACTTTTTGGGTGGCTCATGATTTGTGGCATTTATTGAAACACATGATTTATTACCTCCTTTTTGGATACTCTCATTAAAAATGGTAAAGAAATCAGTGAGCTATTAGTACTTTGTCAATACCCTAAGGAGATAACAGTTTAATAACAGATAGAAACCAATAGTCTAGCGATCACCCCACAAGGAAATAGTAATGTCTTTGTTTTGACTTATATGCTAAGTGAAGTTTTTGGCTTTTAAAAATACCCCAGCTAATATTAAGTGTTGCCAAATTGATATTAGGCACCACCAAAACTACTAAAAGAAAATTGACTCAATTTAGACATGCCATAATTAACTCACAGTTATTAGCTCAACCGGCTTTAAAAATCAATATTAGCAATCAAAAGATGCTTTACCCATAAAGATGGAATTTGGGGATGGCTGCCCTCAAGTGGCATGACCCATCCAATGGACCCTGGTCACGTTACTCCATGACTGTTCCCATTATGGGAGAGGAAAAGTAATTCCACCTCAAATAAATAGTTTGAAACAATTTTCAAAATTGGCCAAGGGTGTGGTAGAATCATGTCTTAGCTGGGAATAGCATAACCTGGGTGAGATGTGGGTCAGATCCTTCTCTTCAAGGTCTTTGGGTATTTACAAATGCATTTTTATACAACTGCTGAAGCCTTGTATTTCTGACTATATAGTAGTTATTTCTTGTAAATTATCTGCATGTATAAAAGTGCTTCCCTGCCTGAGAATAAGGTGGAATGATTCCATCAGTGGTCCCAATTCTTCATCTTTTCCTGAATCCCAGCCTTCACATTTCACCTTGTAGTGCCCTTTCACTCTAAATTTTGGTTCTATTATGTGAGTTGACTTGGTCAATGGGATGTCACAAAGGAGAGGCCTCCAAAAGCACTTGTAAGATTCCACTCTAGCTCTTTCCTTTTGCCATTACCCTGAAACATATCCATCATATTCATCCTGATGGAGGATGAAGATGAGTTCAGCAGATAGGAGTTATCCAAGACACCAAAGCTAAGGTAATCGTAGACCAGGAGATAAAGACATTTCAAGGAAAGAAAATTTCATATCACTCATGCACATAGATGAAAAGTTCTAAATAAAATATTAGCAAACAGAATCTAGTGGTATATAAAAAAGACAGTACATTAAGACCAAAGGGAGTTTATTCCAAAAATAAAAAAGGTTGGTTTAACATTTGAAAATATCATTAAGGGAAAAACACAAAAACATTTTGATTACCCTGATAGATCCAGAAAAAATATAGAATCTACTCAACAATTCATGATTCAAAACTTTTAGCAAACTAGAAATAAAATGGATTGTCTTAATCTGGTAAAGGATGACTACAAAAGCCTATAGCAAACATCATTTCAAATAGCGAGGTATAAAATTCCTTCCACCTGAGTTTGGGAATAAGGCAAAGCTGCCTCCTCTTACCATTTCTATTCAATATTACAGTGAAAGTCTTAGATAATTCAATAAAGAAAGAAAAAAGTATAAAAAGTGGGAAGAAAGTAGTAACTTTATGATTGTATACATAAAATCCCAGGGACTCTACACATTAATTATTAAAATGAATGTGTGAATTTATGAGGGATGCTAGATACAAAGTTAATATACAAGGCCAAGTGTGGTGGCTCACATCTGT